CATTGTTATTGCATAAGTGTCTTCAAACTTGCATTGTTATTGCATTTTACGGTTTTGTTCCTTGCATAAGTGTTTTGTCTCCATAGCGTGTATTATGCATTCTTATTGTTTGGATTAGCCCGAAAATGGTGAATGTAAAATAATTTAAGATGCTGTCTTTATTTCTCTTGTCGACCAGGTTAGAGTGATGAGCTAGTCATGCATCATGGACACAACTTGAAAGGTTTTGCTTTTCTTAACTCATTCTCATTCAAAACAATTAATCAGAAAAATATTTGACATTAACATCTTCATTTTCTAACAGGAATAGGGCTAATGATATGGGCTTAAAGACAAATCATCGAAGTCTTGGACGTTAGGGCTAATGATTTGGGTTTAAAGACAAATTAGTTATAGGGCCTATTTAGACCCAATTAATATCTTGTACTTTTTGATTGTGTTTTTTATTTAGGCCCATCAAAACAAGATTTAATATCAAATTATTGCAAATTCTGAATTTTGTATTCTATATCCTTCTACTTCAAACAAAATAAAACTACAGTACAATAATTTGTACAAATACTGTATTTCCAAAAAAATCATACTATATATTACACATCTCATACATATACGTATGATCATTACGTATGTTAAAATGTATAATACATGTATTTTTACACGTATGTATACATGTATAATTTACACGTATGTATACATGTATAATACATGTATTATTACACGTATGTATACATGTATAATACATGTATTATTACACGTATGTATACATGTATAATACATGTAATATTTACACGTATGTATACATGTATAATACATGTATTCTTACAAAAATGCTATCTGTATAGAAAATAAAATGCTATCCCTGTTGGCCAACTCCCCTCGAGGTACATCAATTATTACATATCAGGACTGCTATTATAAATAAATAAAACTGCTATAAGAAACATATATAAAGAGCTTATACCCGACGCTATTGAAAATTTACTTATAGCAGAAATGAAAACGCTATATTACTTACGGTTTCTATAGCATTAGCAAAAAACGCTATATAAAGTGTGGGACCTACTATAACGGGCGCAGACATAGCGCTTTCTACAATGCTATTTCAGGATACAATAGCGATTTTGCTAAGCTATTAAAACCCTCATTTCCTGTAGTGTACGGAAGTTCTGATTGCTAACATTCAAAAAGCAGAACAAGTAAATTGATTACTGGTATAAAAGTGGCAACAACAAGTCCTTCGGTTTCACCCTTGCTTTTTGCGGATGATAGTTTGTTCTTTTGTAAGGCTACTAAAGAACAATGTGAAGTTAACTTAGGAATTTTAAAGCAATATGAAGCTGTTTTGGGACAACAAATTAATTTTGCTTAGTTCTCAATTCAATTTGGCCACAAAGTTGATGACTCGATTAAGAGGGAAATTAACGGAGCACTAGGTATTTAAAACATTAGCGGTATGGGATCATATCTTAGATTACTGGAAAATTTAGGTGGATCCAAGAAAAAAATATTTTCCTTTGTAAGAGACAGTTTACAGAATAGAATAAATGGTTGGACGACTAAATTCTTATCGAAAGGTGGTAAAGAGGTGTTGATTAAATCGGTAGCCGCTGCATTACCAACTTATGTTATGTCTTGTTTTAGACTACCAAAAACATTCACTTCCAAACTGACAAGTGCGGTAGCAAAATTTTGGTGGAGCTCAAATGGTCAATCAAGGGGTATGCATTGGATAAATTGGAACAAACTATGTATAAGTAAATCGGAAGGTGGGCTTGGGTTCAGAAATGTGGATGATTTTAATTCGGCTCTATTATCAAAACAATTATGGAGATTAATTACGGTTTTCAATTCATTTTTTTGCGAAGGTTTTCAAAGGAAGGTATTAATCGGAATTCCAATCCTCTAGACCAAATAAAATCTTACTCTCCATCTTATGAATGGCGGAGTATAATTTCAGCTAGATCTCTAGTAAATAAAGGCTTCTTAAAAGAGTCAGTTATGGGACGTGCATCTCAGTATGGAAGGATCCGTGGATACCAGCTCTACTCTCGAGAATAGCAATTCTTAAAGGTTTTTTTTTACACATCCCTTAAAGTCAAAAGTCTTATAACACAGCCGGTCGAAATCTTGCAACATTGATCTTCTAGAAGAATTTTTGATCTGGAAGATGTACCATTAATTTTGCCTTACCTTTGGGTGTGCCAGCAAGAAGGATACTTTAGATCGACATTTTACAAAAACAGGTAAATATACAGTTAAGTCCGGATATATACGTCATGGTTAGAAA